CGTCTTATCAGTCTCAAATTCAAAGTTACAGCATGACAATTGCTGCCATTCTGTTGAACAGCGCTTGTGTAGGAATGAAGGGTTACGAACCGTTCTTTTTAAAGTTATAAACTTCACTGCGTGCCATAAATTCACAAGCGACTTCTGAGAGAGGGACAGAGAGCGAGCAGCAGTGGTCGACCATGTGACTGAAGAGAGAGAGAGCAGCGCTAGCAAGAGCAAAGCTGTGAATCACAGAGTTAAAATGTTAATTTCGGATTGATTTTGAAGAAAAAAAATTATTCTGCATTATCTTGTAAGCTTGTAATGTAATTGTAAATTGGACTTGATCAGAGGAGGTGTGAATATTTTCAGTGTTTCCTTTTCTCTCTCAGGACTCCTTTGATGATGGCTTGTACTCGGAGGAACCTTGATGTGATCCAGGAGCTGCTCTCTCATGGTGCTGACCCTCAGCTGAGGAACAAGGATGGCTGGAACTCATTACACATCGCCTGCAGGGAGGGCGATCCTGTGGTTGTACAGCACCTGCTTCTTGCTGCACCAGATGTCTGGAGGACGGAAAGTAATACACATAGGACGCCCCTGCACACTGCAGGTGAAGCATTCTTAGGAGGGTGTAGTTTTGTCTATGGACGGTAGGGACATGTTCTCACCAGTATTTTGGGAGGACAGAAATGTCCCTGCTAATATTTGAGCAAACCCATGGGCATTACCTTTGGAGTGAAGTCATTAGATCATTCTGATGTGCTTAACCTACTGAAAGAGAAGGGGTGATCTAAAGCTCACGTTATATCAAAAGTCATATTTGCTCCCAGACAGACAATGCTTAATATATTGTTGTGTTACCAAAATTACTTCACGCATCAGTGGCTATCTGCTGGTTATACTAAAATCTGTAGCTAGGAAAAATGTTTTTTCATAATTGTAGGGAATTTTTATTGGGAAAAATATTCAGTACCTTCACTGTTATGGGCCATTCACTTATCACACTTTAAAACACATGGAAAATGCCAGCCACACTGCTTTCTTCTTCTTTCCAAAGTGCTCGGTAGCTTGCGCTCCCATGGTGCCTGCCAACTTTTTTGTTTATTTAATAGAAATACAATTCAATACAGATTGTTGCATCAGTTGTATAACAGATGCCCCAATAAAAAAAAAAGTAAACATAATGTGCCAAAATAAGCATCAGTAAACATATAGCAGAACAAGAAAAACAGGAAGCACAAAGTGAACAAAATACCAGAGGTAAAATTATACTGATGTAAAACGGAAGAACTTGAAGAGGTCAGTGATTTTGGTTAGTTTTTTGTTAGATAGTGTGACATTGTTTGGAAGTACTTGCTCAGATCAGGTTGTTTAAAGGTTGTAAGAGATGGTGACTTTTTTTAGGAATTTAAGGTTATGAATGAAGAATTAGGCCAAGATAATTTGTGTTTAACAGCTATTGTTGTTCTTGAAGTGAGGGAGTTTCTTATAAAGGTGCTGTTGAATCTTTTGTCAAGGACAGAAATGCCATTAACAGAGATAGCTAAATGAATAAAGTTGTGTGTATCTGAAAAGGAGTATGCTAAACAAAGAATGCCAGAAGGAAATGCATTAACAACAGGGAGACACGGACCCTGTGCTTATCTATGAAGTACTCATATGAAAATAGAAGTCCATCATAATTAAACAGCTGTTTTACAAGTAAAACATTGTTTTTAAACCAATTTTCAAAGAACAGGGATTTGTTGTTGTAAGTAATAATGGCATTAATTAAGGAGAAGAGATATGAGGCGCTTGGCAGGCCCACCGCTTTGCTAAGTAGGATTCGACCATATAGAGATAAATCTCTGGCTAACCAGGAATTGAATTTCATTTCGACAGATGCAGTTACATCATAATTCCTAAATATTTCACTGTATCTTTTACTGGGATATTACACAACTCTGTTTTTACAATGATTTAAGAGTGAGAATCTCACTTATTTAAGCTGAGGTTGAGACCAGATATTTTAGAGAAGTTTTGCACAACAGATAAAGCATGAGAGACTTCAGTTTTACTTTCTAGAAATAAAGTAGTCATCAGCTAGCTGTGATATTTTTATTTGCCTACCATTAAGACTAATACCTTTAAAAGAATGCTGAGTTATTTATAAATTAAGAACTTCTCCTTCCAGTACAAAGAGGTAAGGAGAGATGGGACAGCCCTGGTGAATTCCTCTCTTAATGTTAAATCTGGGTGATGTGTCAAAGGGCAGTTTTACAGAACTGTTGTTACCATTAAGTTTTGATTGCTTTAATGAAAACGTTGTCATACCTAAAGAAATTTAAGGCATCAAAAATAAAATTGTGGGACATTGGGCCAAAGGGATTGCCATCAAGAAGATCTTTGTAGTCAACTAAATCGATGACTAGATGAATATTATTAGAGACATGCTGAACACTTAGGGGTCAGAATCCAAGAGCATTGCATTGGTGTTGCTCTCTACTCTGAGCGCAGTGTAATTAGGCAGGGCTTAAGGGGTAGTTTGGGGGGGGGAGTCTTGTCCCTACCAATGTTGACCCTTGCATTCTTACATCCCAACATATATTATGAATATTACAGGTGAATGGAGTTGTCACACCAGGTAAAAGAGGCTAACAGCAGAATAGGCTATCTTCTGACTTCAGGTTGATCTGAATATCTCCCAAGATCCAGGGACATCTCAGATTCTGAGAGTGCTCACATTTTTTTTAAATATGTGCTTTGATAACTGAAAAAAGTGTCACATTATAACTTCTGCTCTCTCTGTTGATCATCCAGCGATGCACGGCTGTGAGGAGGTTGTTAGGATCTTGCTAGACAGGTAGGTCGAGATTTTGTACGGGGACTACTTCCATCAGAAATATCATATATCCAAAGTCAAATGGAAACTGAAAGGGCAGCACTTACCTGTTCCTCATAACTAATGCTGAGATGCCCTTAAGCAAGGCCCTAATCACCTTATTACTCCATTGGGACTGCTCAGATTTAAGGGTAATTTGGTCTGACAGACCCTCACCTTTACTGGCCTTCTTCCAGATGTAGCTACAGTCCAGACAGCACAGACAGCTGTGGAGTCACTCCCTTGATGGATGCTGTCAGGAGTGGACACATCTCTGTGGCCAGACTGCTCATAGAAAAGCACCAGGTAGATAGCAACGCAAACTAGTAATGTTTGAGCACTGATGCAAAAATTCAGATATTCATGTAATGTCACAACCTGCTTTGTGTGTACTGTAGGCGTCTCCAACAGCAGCTGATATACTTGGGGCTCAGTCGGTGCACCACGTTGCTGTGACTGGTCAAGACAAGGCCCTGCGGTTCCTGGTGCAGGGCCTCAGCGTAGACGTGAACCAGAGAGCAACTGACATCCAGCTCACTGCTCTGCATTACGCTGCAAAGGTTAGATTAATGAATCCCAATCAGGGGTACTTTTGCCCCAGGTGGTGCTTCTGTAGTTCCTCTGGGGTATCTGGGCAGATCATTCATTCATCTTCTACCGCTTAATCCCTGAATGGGGTCACGGGGACGGCTGGAGCCAATCCCGGCCAGCAATCAGGTGAATGCAGGGTACAACGCGGACAGGTCGCCAATCCATCGCAGGGCTAACACATAGACGAACAACCACACACGCACTCCTATGGGCAATTTAGAGACACCAATCAACCTAAGCTGCATGTCTCTGGACTGCGGGAGGAAGCCGGAGTACCTGGAGAGAACCCACGCAAGCACGGGGAGAACATGCAAACTCCACAGGAGGGGACCGAACCTGGAGCCTTCTTGCTGTGAGGCAACAGGGCTAACCACTGCGCCACCGTGCTGCCCGGAGTAGCTCAACTAATCATAAAAACAGTATAAATTCCATTTTTGAATAAAAAAGTATCCACACGTTGAGTCAGCTGTAACACCTCAATTCCATTACTGAGAGCGTGTGAAGACTAGTTAGATGGTGAGCAGAGCAGTTGAACAGTTAGAATAGAATAGAATCTTTATTGTCATTGTACACAGTACAACGAAATTGGGTGCAAACCTCAGGTGTAGAGAAAAATGTGTCGGTATCAAAAACAAAAAACTATAAACTCACACTCAAGTGTAAAAATCACACTTATTGCACATTGACAGACATAACCTGCATAAGTCCATCTCCATATTGACAAGAATAAAATAATTATGTTAAATATGTTAAAAAGCTACAACAACATTGTAGGGTACAGTACAATGTCACATATTTACTAAGTAATGATAATGACATACTACATATAAGCTGAAGACAGTGTATTGTGAGGTGCGGTACAGTGTTGCCCACTTATGAGTTGTTCAGTGCAATTATTGCTTTTGGGTAGAAGCTGTTTTTTAATCTGTTTGTCCGTGCCTTGAGACACCTGAAACGTCTGCCTGAAGGTAGCATTTCCATCAGATGATGCCCAGGGTGGGACGAATCCTCCCAGATCTTTTGGGCTTTCTTGAGGCAGCGGGATTTATAAAGTTCCTCCAAGGAAGGGAGAGAGCAGCCAGTGATTTCCTGGGCAGTGGTGATGATCCTCTGTAGCGCCTTTCTCTCTGCCACTGTGCAGCTGGCAAACCAGACACAAATGCAATAGGTCAAAATGCTCTCTATGGAGCACCGGTAAAAAGACACAAGCAATTTCTGTGAGAATTGGTGCTTCCTGAGAACCCTCAGAAAGTAGAGTCTCTGCTGTGCCTTCTTAACTAGCTCCTTAGTGTTTGCTGTCCAGGTAATGTCCTCCTTTATATAGACTCCCAGACACCTGAAGACTGTCACCCTCTCCACATAGTCCCCATTTATGAGCAGGGGCTGGATAGCTGTTTTATTCTTCCTGAAGTCTATAATCAGTTCCTTGGTCTTGGTGGTATTAAGAGCCAGGTTGTTATCTTTGCACCATTTGAATAGCTGCTGTACCTCATCCTGGTAGGCCGACTCATCCCCCTCAGAGATTAGCCCTATCACTGTCGTGTCATCAGCAAACTTGATGATGGTGTTGCTGGAGTGGGTAGGATTACAGTCATGTGTGTACAGGATGTAGAGTAGGGGACTCAGTACACAACCCTGGGGGGATCCTGTATTGAGGTTAAGAGCTGAGGAGGTATGTGGGCCTACTCTGACTTTCTGGGTTCGGTCTGAGAGGAAATCCTTAACCCAGAGGCATGTAGAGTGGGGTAGGCCAAGGTCTACTAGTTTGGCCACCAATCTATGGGGAAGCATGGAGTTGAAAGCAGAGCTAAAATCTACGAAGAGTAGTCTTGCATAGCTACCCTGCTGCTCCAGGTGAGTCAGAGCAGTATGAAGAGCAATGGCCAGAGCATCCTCCGTAGACCTATTTGCTCTATAGGCGAACTGATGAGTGTCCAGTGTTGGTGGTAAGCAGGAGAGAATGTGTTTTCTCACCAATTTCTCAAAGCACTTCATGATGACTGGTGTAAGTGCCACTGGACAATAGTCATTCAAGCTCTGGATTGTGGGCTGTTTCGGAATAGGGGCGATGGTCGAGGATTTCAGGCAGAAAGAAATGGTCAAAAAGTAATGGATAAACACTTGAATAGGTAGGAAGAAAACAGGTAAATGGTGAAATACAGTAGCTAAAAGTGACAGATAATGGATCTTTGGTGAGATATATGAATGTATTGTCAATTGGTTGACTGGTTTCTGTAATCGGGGTAGGGGATTAGGGAGACCTGATTTCCCCAGGTAGAATTCTCCTGGAGAATGCTGATTTCTCTCTCATGTATACATGTAACCAGGTTTCTGATTAGCTTTCTACAAGAGCACACGTGCAGAAGACAAGCTCCAAGGTTTCTTGTGTGCATGTGACTGGAGAAAAACAGGAAGTTGTCACTGGCATAAACAGACAATTATTAACATGGTGAGCAGCAGCATAGACAAAGCAACTACAAAAAGCCAGCATTACTGGAGTGATGAAGAGACCTTAATAATGCTGAACATGATGAAAGAGTACTAATGTGATTTGCAAGTGAAACACGCTAGAGAGACTAAAATACGAACTTGATCGACCAGGTCCATCTTTGTTTATGGGAGTATGCAGTCACATAATTATGTCAGTCTTTACAGTTGCAGGCACACGTGAACAACGGGAGTATGCAGTCACATAATTATGTCAGGCTTTCCAGTTGCAGACACACGTGAACAACTTCTTTCTGTTTTCAGTGCATGCAAACAGTCATTGATTGGTAGAAGATAGTCTGTATTCTTTGACCCTCAACTCAGATAGAAGGAAGAGTGAAAAGAGCAACAAAGGATGGAGTCCTCTTCCACGATAGACATGATTGTGTCAAAGTAGACAAAGGCAGAAGTGGCAGTAATGAATTGGTAACAGACTTAATCAATTTACAGTTTACAATACCAACTGTCCTTCCTCATTTCAGTCTGTGTTTTTCAGGAGGGCCACACGTCCACTATAAAATTACTGATAGAGTTGGGAGCGAATATTCATGCTCGGGACAAAAAGGGAAGAACTGGTAAGCAATGCAAACAGACAAGCTTTGCACTGGTGCTGTTGGTGACCTTGTGAAATATTTTTATCTTTAGAGCCCCTGAAAACTTTTTTACTTCTCTGCATCCTTGGCTAAATAAAGGCAACAATAAAATTACAATTTGAGAGAAAAGTGAACTTTAGTATTATGTATTAAAAACTTAACTGTCAAAAATGTAGCTCTTCTACTTCATCAGACTGTTTGATCAGTTTTGATTGAGAGTGATAATAAGCCACATCCCCACATCATATATTGACGCAGCATTGACCAGGTAGAGAAGATTTGAAGATAATAGGTCCGTTTCACAATCTTTTACAGGTTTCGGTTGTTTCTGTCCTAATTTAATTGGCATCTGTTCATTTCAGAACAGGTGTTGTCAGTTATTGTATAGTTTTGTTATAATCCTCCTAAAAAGCATATTGATTTAAAAAATCTTTGAGGCTGATAAGAAGCTTTGATGTCTAAGATTTTAGAGTTAACTGTTGAACAGGATTATTTTCAAGTACAGCATAAGTACAACAGAAACCCAAAAGAAAAATGATGAATAAATAGGTGGATACTTTGAAAAGATGAAGTGATTTAGCAGCTGATTTCTCACATTTTAGATGCAGGATCTTTCTACTTTGAATGCACCAAAATCAGCTCAAATCAGTTTGCTTTAATCTGCCTTACCACAATAAGATGATATTCTCAGTGGTGAGCTACTTTGCAGGTTGTTTTTCATATGTGGTCAGGTAAAGAGTAGCTGTTAGTGACAGCAACTAGAGCTCCATATATAGTGTAGTAAAATGTTGCCTGGAAGCTAGGAAGTCAAAGAACAAAACAAAACAAAAACTCATGCTACAACCAGTACTGTGTCTACCACCCTCTCTTTTCTCAGCTCTTCACATGGCTTGCATCGGGCAGCATGCAGAAGCAGCCAGGACACTTCTGCAGCTTGGACTCAAAGATTCAGAGGATGCATCTGGCACAACAGCACAACAACTTGCCAAGAAACCAGATGTAGTTCAAATGTTTGAATATGGCCTACCAGACACGTCCTAAATAAACACTACAGTGACACTGAATACATGTTTACACTTAGTTGTGTATAATTAATTTAAGTAAAGGAAACAACCTGAAACACTTGAGGTTTTGTGGATTGCATTAAATCTTTACTGTTTAGTGACTTGACATGAATGAAAGTCTGGCTATGGTGTGTTATATTAGCATCAAGTATTATTAACTTAAAAAGTTGCTGCATATGCATATTTGTATATGAAATAATGTATTGAATGTAGATAAAACATTATGTTATAATGAAACTTTGCAGATATTTTCTTAAAACAAGCCGGTCACCTTTTACAGTGCCGTCAAGAAACCAGAAGCCAACGCTTGTATGACATCTGTCATTAGTTTGTTTGACTTCATGTACTGTAATCTGTAATCCTATACAGATTTGAGATTTGGGTGAGTAATACAAAGACAAACTTTATTACTGTCTCTGGGTTTACTAACCAGGTAGGTCAACCATGAAGCTAGTCCACAGTTGCACCTCAAACAGTAAATCAAGATTATGATGCACTATACATCATTGGTCTTAATTTGTTGGCAGAAATCTTGTCACAAGATGATAATGATTTCCTGCTAAAATAGGTGCTTCAAAATAGTTAAAATTAAGTGAATGTAGTGTAAACTGTATAGAGATTGCTTGGAATTTCACAGTAATAAATAACGATATAAAACTTTGAATACTACTTAGCATTTTAGGTTAATATGGTTTGAAAGCAAATCTACAAAGAAATCTTTTAATTACTTTCTGAAAATATGAACTAATGGTAGTGTGAGAACTTGAAAAAGAACATTAATATGGGAATGCATGGACTCTTTTGTACTTTGTCGCCTCCTCTACCAAGTGATTGACAGCTGAGATGCTCCGCCCTCGAGGCGCCTGACGTGAATCGCAACCCCTGCCCATTTCCAGCTCCGTAGATCTCCATTTTCTTACTCTTTATTCAGGAACAGAGGCGTAAAGACTTGGAAAAATGAATGAAGAATACGACGTTATCGTCCTGGGCACCGGGCTTACGGTGAGAAAGCACCAAACGATATGGTCCACAGCATGGAAGTGACCTGTTATCGACGCAGTTAGCCCTTGACAGTTTGGCTTTGAGCTAACAGGGCCTAATCAGTAGGGCTAGCACTAACTAGCTAACTTAGGGCTAACAGTTTTAATGGGAACTGTGAGCAGAGTAGTTAGCACTGTGCTATCTGCTGTCAGTTCCTGAAAAGAAACGATACCACAAGAAAAGTTCAAACTATTACTGTGGGGGTTAGTGAGTAATCTGTCGAATGTGAGTGTAAGAAACTCAAAATCGGGTACTTATCTGATTATTTTGAAAGTAAGCGCCAAATCGGGCAGCATTTCTCAGTCATGATAAGATTATAACGCGAATGATTGGTCCGTTAGGGTTAGCTTCATTTAGGCTAAGTCTTTAGCCTGCTAACGACGTGTCGCAGCTTCGTTGAACCATCTCTCGTGCACAGTGTCTGTTAATTCGGTTGTTGACTTAATCGCAGCGTGGGTGTAATTTCAGAAAAGGTTGTCCCTTTTCTGATAGGAGTAATAAGTCCACATTGCTAACTAACTTCAGCTATCTGAAGTTTAAGCTTAAGCGCCTCTTCGGACGGTGGCTTCCACAGGCTGGCGAGCAGTCATTTTTCGTAAGCGCAATAAAGCTAATTTTCGCAAAGTTTCATCAGTCCCAGCACTATTATTTAAATATCAAGACTTTGGGGAAAAGGGCGGACTGCTTATAGGAAATCGCTGGATTACTTTGGGCCTTGCAGTTGTCAGTCCGAAACTTTAGCAATGGGTTAAGTTGTAACTTGAGGGCGAACTTCATGTGTCGTTTTAACTTGTGCACGGAAAAGTCAAATGTGGCTTATCCAGTATAATGTGAGGTGGCAGTTTGTGAGCTATTCGCGTATGTGTACGGTTTGGTTAACCGGAAATGAATTTTGTCAGCATTAATCATGTCATAGCCATGGACAAAACTGCACTCGGACTTGCTGTCAGTTCTACATGGCTTAAGCATGTCATGGCAGTTCCGTGATAAATTTGGACTTTATTGCGGCTTCGTGTGGCACTAAATCCCTTGCATTTTCTGGACTCGTATTCATCTGCAAAAACGTCACTGTACAGTTGTAAATCAGATATCATTTGCAGCTGAACCCAACTTTTAGTTTCTGTGAAGTAATAAATATTGCTTTATAACAGCAAGTTACTAAGTGTTTTGCTTGAATCTCTAAACAGGTAGAGGGGCAAAGGCAGTCGAGCAGAAAGGGGGGTGGTTAACATTTAGTGGGCAGGGTGTTGGTTTAGTTCACATTTGGGTGTGGTTCCACTAAAGCTGAGGAATCGAAAGTAGGTGCTCTGCGGACCAGTGGAAGTGAGCGGTGGCCTAACTGCTAGCAAAATCCCCGCAGACGGAAGCTGGCGCGGTGCAGTGTGTTTTCGCGTGGTTTTAGTTCTATGCAAATCCTTTATTTCACGTTTAAGCTCAACAGCTTCTCCTTTTGTGCTACACGCTAGCACTGTTATGTCTAGTACCTCAACAGGTTACAAAAGTCTCTAATCAGAATAAATGGTGCTGTTCCAAGTTAGTCGGTGCAGGCTGGTTTACTCAACATTTTCAAGTTAACCCCTACTATTTATACACACGCTCAGTTTTGTGTCTTCAAAGGGAATATGATCTGCCCCCCATGGCACCTTGTTGTGTCCTTTTTAAATTGTCAAATTCACTCACCCTACTTCATTCGCCTTTCTAGAACAGAAATGATTAGTTAGACCTTTTGTATTTCTCTTATTATATGTTCTTGGTTAAGTAACGGGGGGTTGGGGTTGGGGTTCCCATCTGTGCACTACTAATAACAAGAGGGTAGTGGCTTAGCAATGGGAAACATTAAACTACCTAAATGCATTCTGGATCACTTTTAGCCTGAAGATGAGATAAGCAAGCAGGGCAGCATTGCAGTGGATGAAGAAATTGTGGCTTAAGGAGTATACATGTGCATTAGTCAGCTGTGACTGAATCAAAACCACCAGTGATGGTGGGGGAAAGTCTTGAACTTTCCATAGGAAAAATTAAGAATAGTGCAGTGAGAAGTATAGAAAGTAAAATGGCTAATTATTCTTACATTGTTCCATTGTCCAGTAAGACATGTGCAGCTGCTGCTTGCTTTGTACCCATCAAAAGGAGGAAATGTTGTTAAAGGAAAGGATACAAATATAATAATGACCTTCACTCGTAGTATAACAGTACAGTCATAACAGTCGGTTCCTCTGAAGTCAACAAACTCCTGTCTAATTTTATAATCTTGTCACATGTTTTGTATGTAAAACTTTGTGTGTAATGAATAGATGGATGCAGTGAAATTAAAAGTGCAGCACAGTAAATTACAGTTTCTTTTAGGGCTGACCCCTTCTGAAAGTGGATTGGTCAAGTCTTTAGTTGAGAGGTCATCATTTAACTGAGACTCTTCTAGTCAAATCTTTGGTTTTATTTTATTCTATTTTATTTTTTTGTCAGCCAGTGTACATTACAATAAAAGGTAGCCCCAGTCCCTGTTAGATATTCAGTTTTTAAATAGTTTTACAGGCTTGAGATTCACACATAATTATAGTCTTGAAGAAATTGATTTTCTTGATATACACATATCTTTATCTAAAACCCACAGATCACAACATGCTTCATGCTCAAAGTTTTCATCCCTTTTCTCTTAAAAAAAAAAAGCTTACCTGTAAGTCAACATATTAGATTATAAAGGATTTGTGTTGACTGAAGAATATCATAAAAGCAAACAAGATATGTTGTCCAAGTTTAGAGAATGGCTTGTGAGTGCAGTAAGCAAACTGGACTCAAAAGTGGACTTGAGTTGGTGGAACAAACTCAAAAATCTAAGTTGACACCACCTCTTTTTTATTATACTACATATACAAAAGTTACCATGGGTGGATCTTTAAAGGGCAGAAAACATAAAGGGCAGACTCTGAGCTTATCATCATCCTATAGAATCTTGCAATGAATTTTGTCAAACCTCTTTAGGGCTAATTTAAGTGCGGAGCCTGCAAAACATGCCGATATACTAAAAATGTAGTCTTTCAACCATCCAGTCAATGGGAAGTTAATTAATATCAAGAATTTTATCACCTGTAAAACAAAAAGTTATTTACATGATACAATGCTCGTGGAAAAGTGTGTATAGGGGAGACATCTCGCTCACTTAAAGAGTGTATTACTGAACACGGGTGCTATCAAGAGAAATGATATCACTAAACCTGCTAAACCTGTTGCAACACACTTCAATAAGTTAAAAGACCCTGTGTCATCATTAATTTTCCAAAATATAAACTAAAAACAGGACTGAAAGCGTAACAGTACGTAGTTATAGCTGACATAACAGCTCATTTGGTGAACATTTTTACTTTAGTAAAAAGTGGCTCTGTCATCAGGAATCATGAGATCTCCTTTAATTGTTCTGCTGATGATGTTCAGCTGTGCCTTCCCTTAAAAATAAACCGAACTGACATTCAAGACTGGATGGCTGCAAATTTCTTCAATTTAAATGAAAGTAAAGTAGAGTTGATACTTGTCACTCCAAATGCCACCAGCACTAATTCTGCTCCAAACCTGGGCTCCTCTGTAAAACTGTACATTTAGAATTTATATTGGATAGTGAGTTTAAATTAGACAAATTAACTCTGTAGTTAGGTCCAATTTTTCAGTTGAGGCTTTTTATCAAGGATTAAAACTTTGCTTCCCAGGAATATTTTAGAAGGACTTATTCGTGCTTTTATTTCAAGTCACCTTGACTACTGTAACTCTCTTTACGTATACTGGTGTATCCCACTTTTTGATAAAGCATCTCCAAATTGTCCAGAATGCTGATGTGTGCTTTTTGACTCATACTGGGACCATATTACTCCTGTCCTGGTCTTGCTTCATTGGCTACCAGTTTCTTTCAAGATACAGTTTAAGGTTCTTTTAATGGCTTTTAAGTTATTGAATGGCCTAGCCCCTGCTATCTCTCGGAACTTCTTATACTTTGCTGCCTCTTGAGAGCCCTTCGATCTGCTGACCATTCACTCCTAGTTGTTCTTCCTGTCAGGAAAAAATGCAGAGGACACTGGGGTTATGACTGAGAAAGTGCAAAGCTTTGAAACGACCTGCCCCTGCGTGTTAGCTTGGCCCCATCCTTATTTATCTTTAAGTCTTTGCTTAAGGTGCATTTTTATGTATTGGCATTTGGCCAAACCCCCCAACTAGAATTTTCATGTTTTGTTATTTTTTTTTTATTTTTTATTTTTTTAACACACAGGTGTACTATCACCAGTTTAGGCTGGACTGGGCTTTTGGCCTTTTTGTCAGCACCATTTATGTTACCATTGCTATGATGTATCCTTTTAAAACTTGTGTTCTTTATATTTGGTTTGATTGTTTTAGTTTATAGTCTTGTTTCAACTTCTTGTAAATTACTTGGGTCAACTGTTATGGTTTTTAAATGTGCTATATAAATAAATTCAGTGAACCTCTGGTGAATTGTAGCACTAAGATGCACATAGGAAAAAAGATGCAAGCACTCACGTCATCAACTTGTGTCATCAACTTATGATGCTGTCATGTTTTAAAAATGTGGCAGAGCAACAAAGAGACTTCTGCCTTAGCGCTGGTATTTCCTTGCAGAGAAAAAGAGAGAAAGCAGCAGCTGATAAAAAGAACTCTCACAACAAAACTATGACTTAAGATTCACTCAAAGGCTCGTAAAAACTGAGTTCATGCTCTTTCATTTGATAGGTCACTATTTTCAGTCAGATGGTGTATGTCTTCTCTGTGAGCTCTGATTATTCTGTGTCCCATGACAGTAGCTCCTCCAGTGTTTACAGTTGGTCTGTTAGCTTCAGCACAAAGGGCGCGTTTGTTTCAAGTCCCATGTAGCACTGGTCTGCGGCGAACTGAGTAACAGGAAACAGTGTTTCAAAAACAAGCAATCTGAGAAGAGGCATCCCAGTTGGTGTAAAATCTAATTAAGCTCTGTTACAAAATTTAAGAGGTGGGTAAATGTGTTGCGTTTTCCCTGCAGCCTTGAATGTGGAGCGCCCACCTCAGTCAGTGGATTTGATGATGGTTGACTTGGTGCAGTGTAGAAGGTGTAAGTCGTGCTGGTTACATTTCATTTTGAGGATTACTGAGCCGTGTGAAATTTCTCCGGCTCTGGTTAAAGAGAGGGTTGAGAGTTGTGAATAGACAGCACAACATAAGCTTTTTGTAGTCAGTCCCTATCTGTGCCCCATTTACCATTCTCTACAGGCACACCCTTTTATTAGAACTCTGCTGGTGATTGGGCATGGTCTGCAGCTGAGTGGTGTAATCTGATACTACATCACATCACCACCGGATAGAAATATAGTTTTGTAAAACATTTGGGCCCACGGTTTGTACAGGATGACTGTAGGTGACCACTCAGTGAAAGTAATGCATTACTTTTTGTTAGGGGTAGGAATATTTGGCAAACTCACAGTTCAGTTCCAATTCTTGGTGTCGTGATTCGATTCTGAACGAGTTTCAATTCAAAAACGATTTAATTCAGTTAAAAATAATAATAAGGGCAATGTATTTTGGCTCTTATCCTAGTTTATTGCATCATACAACTGATTTCTCCTGTGCCTGCTGAGCTTCTATTGAAGCTTAACAGAGTTAAGCTAACTGGTTCTGATGAGCATCAAAACCAACTACTTTACATACTGATACCCAGCAGTATATAAAGTACTTGAAGTTATAAGTATATAAGGTTATTAAAATTATCTCCATCTTTACCAGCTATAGCATCACAATAATGCATCAGTAATTATAATCCGATAGCATCTGAGAGCATCTGCCTCAAGCTGACTGAAATCAGAGATGACTGGCTTTTACAGTATGTTAATAAGCAGTGGAATGCAGGGTCGCTAAAGTTTGCAAAATGGGAGTTTCAAAGCATGCTGTTGATCTTGTTCCTCTGTTTCCTAGGAATGCATTTTATCAGGCATCATGTCAGTGAAGGGGAAGAAGGTTCTTCACATGGACCGCAATTCCTACTACGGCGGGGATAGTGCATCCATCACACCTCTTGAAGACGTGAGTTAATCTCTGACCCCTCTGCTTTAACTTTGCAAAAAAACATTCAATATTTGTTTAGTAACTTAGACTCAAATATGGCTTTCTTAACATGATGAACATGATGAACACCACTTAATCAGCATTGAACTGGAAGAGTATACATTCACTTTTACTTTCAGCTTAGCTAAAAAAATTTTCTCAAATACTGTTTCCTGGAAATGGTTGCTTTAGTAGTTACCTTGCTTTCTGGATGTCCCTCTGGTGTAAAGGTACATTCTTGTCTTTAGCTTGTATTCTGTCTCTCTATACAGCTCTACAAGTGCTTTAATCTTCCGGGCAGCCCTCCTGCATCAATGGGAAAAGGTCGAGACTGGAATGTGGACCTCATCCCTAAATTCCTAATGGCCAATGGTACGCTTAGTTCACTCACCTGTATATCACATGCAGCTTTAGCTTTTGACTTACCCTCAGATCTGTAGATATCTGCAATATGTCTGTTTACATCTTTTGATGTTTTTCTAGAAAGTCCATGAGCTTTAGCTTATTGGTTCTCCATGGTGAACACCAAAGGAGGGTTGTATTTCAGAAAGTGTTTAATATCTAAAATGTCTGTTTTTTTAATCAGCAGGGACCATAACACTTCACTTAAATGTTATCAGCATTTTATGTTTTTCTGAAAGTAATGCAGATACTTCTATCTTCTTTCAGGTCAGCTGGTCCGTATGCTGCTAATTACACAGGTGACTCGCTACCTGGATTTCAAAGTGATTGAGGGCAGCTATGTGTACAAGGCAGGCAAAATATATAAAGTCCCCTCTACTGAGGCTGAGGCTCTGGCATCTAGTAAGTTATTGCAAAATACATGGAAAAATTTGTTTCCTACACAGTAATTTTGTATTTGAAATCTTGAAATATTAAGCCAAATCTGGGTCCAATCCAAACTTAAATATTTGAAGTTTTTTTTGTTGTTGTTGTTGTTTTATATTTTGTTTTTTGGGTTTCACTCTCTGCTCTCCTGCTCCTTTTGCCTGAACATTATTCTCTCTTTACTTCCTCTCTCCTGGGCTCTATCTTCCATCCCTAATCTGTGTTCTAATAATTATATAGATTAATATATGATAGTTGGTTTTCAGTAATAGTTGTCTGTTTTTCTAGTGGTTGCTTTAAATTAAGTCCTCCACAATTTGCCAGTCTGATGCCCAACTGACATGAGCTGTGCGTTCAGTGTCATAACATGTCTGTTAACAGCTCCTTATGAAGGACAGCAAATGATGAACTGTCTTCACCAGGCTGACCAATAGCAGAAATGTTCTGGATGAAAATAGTTTTCATGTAGTGTTGTCTGGAGGAAATCAGCTTGTTTTTGTAGAGGCAAACTTAAAACATAAGGGGTGATGGTGCTCATGTACATGTCAGAGAGACATTCTCTAGGATGAGTTCTGTCTGTAATTTAAAAACATGCTCAGGGTGAATTGGTCTTAACTGCATCTGTGAATATGACTCGCTGTGTTTTTACGGGCTTCCTGGGCTAGTCACTGTGTTTGGCATTGTGGTGGTAAGGCTTGCTTTTTGCTCACTTTTATGTTGCTTTTGACATGGGTCCACTTAAAGTCTAAACTTTGTCTTCTAAAGGTCTGATGGGATTGTTTGAGAAACGGCGCTTCAGAAAGTTCCTGGGCTACGTTGCCAACTTTGACGAAAATGACCCCAAAACCATGGAAGGTGTCGACCCCAAGGGGACAACAATGAGGGCCATTTTCCAAAAGTTTAACCTTGGCCAGGAAGTGATAGACTTTACTGGCCACTCCCTTGCCCTCTACCGCACAGACGAGTCAGTGGTCTTCCTTGTTGTTTAAGTGTTATTTTCGTAATACATTAAGTGCACATGATTGTGATGCCATTTTAAATGGTCTCCATCCCTCCTCTCAGTTACCTGGATCAGCCTTGCATTGAAACAATTAACAGGATAAAGCTTTACAGTGAGTCTCTGGCCAGATATGGCAAGAGCCCCTACCTCTACCCTCTGTACGGTCTGGGAGAACTACCACAAGGCTTTGCCAGGTAGGGCTTTGTCCCTTTGATACACATGTCTAATATTTCTGTCTCTGTCGCTGCATTGTATATTGTGGAGTTAATTTTTCAAATAACATTTACCCAAGGACTTTAAACTGCTTGAAGTAGCTTCTGAAATTTCAACATTAGAATTTCAGATATAGCTCTATAAAACCACATAATTGCAGAAACTATTAATCCTTTTTCACTGTAGGAACTTACCGACCCATAACTGAACTTGACCCCTTGTCCCGTGTTCTGCTGAGATGAGTTCCCAGAGCTAAATTTTGGTATCCCATAGGAGGTAGCACTAAATCAAGTTTTAGGAACTGTTTAATCTTGGGTCGTGACAGTCTCGAGGTAAACAGAAGAATTACAGCATTCACACAGTACAAAGTAATCCACCAGGAATGTGTGCACGCATGTTGAGTTTTCATAAAGCACAGATGTTACCGTTAACATTCACAGTATATTTGTTTTGTTCAAGTGTCCGAGAGAACGATGACAGTGTGAGAGAAAGCAGCAGTGTGACTGAAGCAACAAAATGGAATTCAGCTACCATTAGTCTTATTGTTTGTACCTGTGCATTTCCTAATCAATTTCCTGTCTCCTGTGAATAAGGCTTGTTTCAGGGTCCTGGTATTGTGCATGCTGGCTCTCTGTAGTGGCTCACTCAAAAACTTAAATGGAGCAGTTATGATTATTATTATTCATTATATCTGTGTTAAAATGTCCACCCTGACTAGGATGTGTACCAGGACATTAAGCCTTGTGGCTGGAGTGAGTAGGTAGGTAGGTAGATCAAATTTAGGTGCCATTTACTTAGGTATAGGGTACATGTGTAATGGAAATCCTGAGCAGCTTCCTCAGCCAAGATTAAAATAGTAATAAAATAAACATATACAAAGCAGTAATAATAAATTCTTGAGGCAGTACCAACCAATACTACTTCAGTAGATCTAAGTAATAAAAAATACTTCTGCATAGAAATACTAGAACATACAAACACCTAATTTTTTAAAACTTTAGGTCATGTCTAAGATGATAATGTAACATAGTAGATAAGTTAAAAAAACAAGGAAAAGCATGCCATGGGCTCTTTAATGTCTTCCCTAACTATTCTTATGGCTACTGCATAAAAGCTATTCTTAAATCTAGTCTAATGTTGTGATCATACTCTGGTCTGCAGCAGCTCAGATTTGTATTTTGCATCTGTCACAGGAAGTGACCTGGATGGTGTTGATCTCTCGTGATGGCATGTGCTGGGAGGACATTGAAAAGAAATGTTGTCATTTATTTATTGTATATTTTGGTCATTTTAGTCCCGGTTCACAGAAAACTTGTTGATTCAGTATTAAACACAGTCTTGTGTGATATTATTAATACCGGGTAGTTTCAGATAGCTCACTACCGTTGAGCTCATATTTTTTGATAATAGGAGCTAACATCTCAAATGTGTTTCCATTCCAGGCTGAGTGCGATCTACGGTGGGACATATATGTTGAATAAGCCCATTGAGGAGATTGTGATTGAGAATGGGAAGGTGGTGGGAGTCAAGTCTGAGGGAGAGGTGAGCAATTTGTTCTCAATGTATTAAAACAGTTGTTGCAAAATTGAAAAGACAATGGCATTTGTAGTGTTGAAACAAACGGAACTCAGAGATGTACTGATTATTTTGCAAAGATGAATTGTATTTCACTTTGACTTCAATGCTAAATATATTACGTTATCTGATTATTTTCTAGTCCTCTATGTTTGAGCAGGTTATTTAATCTAAACACTGCCCATTTTCTTGTTTGATCTTATAAATGATTTAGCTTTATGATATAAATCAGCTCTTTTTATCCAGTATTATAAAGCCAGAAATGTCTGCACAGTCACCCACTATTTTATATTTCCATTATATTTCACTCCAGGAATTAAACCTGCTTCTTGTTGTCTAATCTCTGGCTGTGTTTGCCCACCACAGATCGCCAGGTGCAAGCAGCTTATCTGTGACCCCAGCTATGTTATGGATCGTACTACCAAAGTGGGTCAGGTGATCAGAGTCATCTGCATCTTAAGTCACCCCATCGCCAACACTGGCGACATCAACTCTTGCCAGATCATCATACCCCAGAATCAGGTCAACAGGAAGCATGGTGAGCACATGGGGGGAAATTGTCAGAAGTTATAGTATTTCATTTTTATCTTGAATAGAAAATATTTAAAAGGAGAAAATAAGGCTCTGTTGATGTCAGATGAAAAAAATATTAACCCTGTGTGACATTGTGACAGACTTTGCTCATAATTGTCAAACTGCCAGATGGCCAGATGTGAATTGTAGTTTCTCTCTTTCTAGACATCTACGTTTGTATGATCTCTTTTGCTCACAACGTGGCAGCACAGGGTAAATATATCGCCATTGCCAGCACCACAGTTGAGACAAATAACCCTGAGAAAGAGATCAAGCCAGCCCTGGACCTACTGGAGCCCATCGAGCAGAAGTTTGTCAGCATTAGCAACCAGTATGCTCCCACTGACATGGGCACTGAGAGCCAGGTATGATCAGTGAGCAAAGATGAAACAAGATCATATTGCCGCTGTTGCATGTTTTAGCTCATTTACAACAGTTCAGGTATTACTGTATATGACTGACAAATTTTCAGGATTATTATTATTTTTTTTTTTTTGCCATCACAAATGCACAGGTGAGGTTGTCAGCAAAATGCCCTGTGCAGAAAACTGTCATTGTTCTTTCCTTGCCCATGTAACAAAAATCATTTTCTTTGAGTTTTTGAAACAAACCAACCTGAATAATTACTGTGTATATAAGTGATTTGTATTTTAGTTTCTTTTATGAACTTAATGTCATTTAAGAACATTTTAGTGACTTCTATCCAACCTTGTTTTCTCCTCTATAGATTTTCATCTCCCGTTCCTATGATGCCACAACTCACTTTGAGACCACCTGCAATGACATCCAGGACATCTACCGGAGGATGACAGGCTCTGACTTTGATTTTGCCGAGATGGAGCGCAGGAAGCAGGACATCTTCGGTGACAACGCAGAGTAGATGCGAAGAGTCTGCAACAATCCTGATTATCCAAGACAATGCTGCCGACAACTGAAATCTTACAAAATTAGAAAACCTACACAAAAATGTACACACCAATGGGCCGGCATATGTTTAAAGTATGTGGTTTACCTAATGAGGAAGATAATGAACTACAGAGATGAGATTGTTGGATATGGTTTGGGGAGGGAGGAATGCTTTTCCTAATCACATTCAAATGGATGTTTCACTGGTTATGTCTAATATACAGTCATACCCTACATTAATCTGCTTCATCATGTTAAGATGATGCATAGTCCAAAGATGCCAAATAAAATTATAATTAATATTCAGTATCTTACAGAGTGGGGGGGGTCATTGTACAAAAGGTTTGTCAGAGATAGCGGTCTACTTGTGTTATTTTGTCTGCAGGTTTGTTTTTTTTTCTTCATGTCAGGATGAGGGAGAAGTGGCTGTGTATTGTGTGTCTGAATAAAATCGAGTAGTTGGGTGTTCTTCACATTCAGGCCCATCGATTGCAAACATCTGTGTGAAATGTCACCCCAGATATCGGCTCAGATTTTTGTAAAATAAAGTGGTTCATAGCTTTGTGGTATCATCTCCAGCACAGCCAGATCGTATACTTTAAGACAAGCCACAGGGTAACTGTACTCCAGCATAAACTAGCTTGAGTTTATATAAAACTCCAGCAGGGAAGTATTAGTTATTGTATTATGCAAAACAATGGAAAACCTGAGCATTAACAGCAGATTGATGGAAAGTATTTGTCTGTGATTGCTTAAGAAGGACCAAATGTGTACTGCAGTAATATTGATTTGATGAGAGCCCTGTAACATTTAATGTTTTGAACAACTGCTAAAAAACATGTTGGGCTCAAATGATTTCTGTACTGCAAGTTAAAAAAAGAAAAAGAACAGCGTGTTTGGCTTATTCTTTCTTGCGTTTTAGTTGGCATTTGTGTGTAGTCAAGAATATCCAGTGAATGTTACTAAAGCCTTCACAGAATTGAAGCCCCATATTTTTCAGTTAGCCCTACACTTTTAATAGGCGTTTCTAGATAGGAATACACCAAAGGACAACACATAATTCATTTATACATAAAATACTGAAATGCAGTCTCTATAATTGCATTCAGAAATATAGTAGACAACTACATAATATGCTGTTTTAATGTGTTGTATTCCACAGAGCTGGGAATCAGAAATAGCACAAAGATTTGTAAGTGGCAGCAGACGAAACCTCACTTGTGAACTACGATTCCTAGCATCCCCTGCTGCCCGATAGGGCAGAAACTAAGCTTTTCAAAGCTCTGAACCGGTTGCTTCAGAAAATTAATGGTTGTTTTGAAATATTTGAATCACGCACACTGGTAACATCTGCTGGTCAAACCCCTCTAAATACAATAGAAACTGCCAACGTGGTGATTCAGAAGACACCTTTTTCATAGTTACAGTATATACATTTTTATAATTATGTGAAATTTGTGTACGTGGTGGCAAATGCTTTTGTGACAGGAATAGTATTATCCGAGTCATTTTCTCAATACTGTGTAAAATTATGTGACAACAGTAAAGCTTATTGTTCTATTTATAGATACAGTATGTGTCATATGTAAGAATGGATTTATTTTTATATAACTTCAAAATGGGTATAGATTTTCAACAAAACTGGAAAGTGGGCCTACATTTTCTCATGAGGAGTGCTTGTGACTAGGCTATACTGTAGATGAGGGAGGGTTTTCGTTTTTGCCCTGCTTCAGGCCCATCATTTAAATCCTCAGAATGCTTAGAATGGAGGTGTCTTATCATTGATGATGTGTTAGGGAATTCCAGTTGTTGGTTACAAATGTTACATTTGACTAAATTGGGCTGCAAAAGCTCAAAATACTCCCATTCAAGTGACCTTGTTCTTTTTCTCACACCCTCCATCATCCAAATCAGCCTCTCCAAATATCAAATACGTTTTTGTCTCAGCTACACAAAACCACACAAAATCTGACTATTTTCACAGACTTTTATTGTGTTATTGGAACGTGGCACAACTGATGATCTACAAGTAACATGAATCACTGACTGAGGATCAGCCCAACCTTTTATTTGGTTATTCAGGTAGTGTAAACTGTCAACTAACTCAAGCTCCGCAGTTACAGTATATAGTTCTATGTTCCATAGGCCCCCAGCGGCGACCCGCCAAAACATGAAACGTTTCATGAAGCAATCACGTGACTTGGCCACGTTAATACACGCCCCAAAGCAGTCCTTCAAAACGGAAGTGTCACAAGTGGTTTGAAGCATAGACATAATATCATAATATACATAGACGCCGCGTTGAGCGGGTTGGCCCGCTGCTACGACACGTCAACGTAGGAGCCATATTGGAAGTGGCGTTCTGCCCCGTGATACAACACAAGTGAATGGACTTAACTTTATAAAACACATTTCTACCACGTATTATAAGTTATTTCCTGACATTTACCCATTCACACACGCATAAATATGTTTAGGAACCAAAACCAACATGTGCCACGTTGATGATTATAAATGTTAACTACTCCTTATATATTTAGCACAAAGGTAGGAACCAAACCGACATGTGTACTTTTCAGATGTTTTCATTAGTGTTTACAGCTACCAATTTTTGTAATGCTGTTACTGTGATAATAAGTAAGAGTTAAATATTGATTATTACATCTGTCTATACCAATTCCTGAAATGTACGGTAGATGTGTCTATGGGAATTAAAAGCACTGACGATTACAGTTAACAAATTTTGATTAATTGTTTTTATGTCCAGTGATTTTTAACCAATAGTGTAATGGGAAATAGAATAAAGTCTGCAAATAAAAAAAGACCATACATGGCTGGCTTTTACATAGAGCAGATATAGACTATATTTTTATTTAAAACATTACATGAGTAGACACATATTTACATTTATACAGCTGTATATGTAATGAAGAACATTATATGTCTATATCCATCCATCCATACACACATACATACAGCTACTGTCTGCGTGTGAGCTAAAACCCATTAAAAAAAACTGTTTTGCACAGTTTTTTTCGTGTGTTGCCACTCTGTAACTGAAGAGTGTTCAGTTTGGCAATGTGGTGCAGCCTCAGTTTGTGGAAGGCAGACACAACCAGTGACATCAGCACAAAATGGTGGTTGTCAATTCCAAACTGTGTTTCCTGAATGTGCCCCCCACAAAAAAAGACATCCTCTGAACCAATCTCAGCCCGGACAAACTGACTGATCAAGGCCACTTTGACGGCTTGTCGTGATGTTGACGGCCAAATGAAACGCCTAGCTGACCTAACCACCTTTACTGTGCCCTCAGAAGGAATCATCAGCCCTCCTTTGTTCTTTAGTGTGAGCAAGTGGTAGCTCTGATCAAATGATGGAGGTATGGCATCACTCACTAAACTACCGCGGCACATATCACAAGATAGGCATTTCAAAACTTGGCGAACAACAAACCCTGAAATATAAACAAGGGCATTGTCCACAAGGCTACCAAAGCGGGTTGGTAAGTAGCTATGGTCACACACAATGGTAGGAATGTTGGCAAAAGGGGATGGAAGCTCCTCAGTTTCTTCTACTTCTGGAGAAGAGGACATCTCAAAAGCAGACAGGGCCACAGTGTCATCCTGCACTACCACATTTCCTGATGTACTTGTAGACACACCACACCGCACCATCAGACGGCAGAAGATAGCCCGGAAGTGGCCTGCTGAAGTGTTGTTATTCCAGCCCCCTAAATCATACACACCACTTTTATATGTGTAGTCTTAGGTCAGATTTATGAAGAAATAATAAAATTGATCACAAAATTCCAAGCAGCACTGTATATGCCATTTTGAGACTGGCAGACTTTTTTTTTATTAAAAAGAGAAGAATATTATCTGAAAGGCCAAAAATAGTGTGGAACATGTATACATA